ATGTTTCCTTTTCTTTAATTTGGGGGTTTCTTTGTCTCCCCATTTTGGTAGGTCTTAGTGTTTGTATCTATATATTAGATATATTTGCTGTTCCCCAGTCTTGTGGGAATGGATTTTGCTTTGTGGATCCAGTGGAGCCCAGAAGTGTGTTTTCCTTATACCTGTGAGCTCTTTGTTCTAGGCGTGTCCCTCTTGTGGGTGCCCCTTTTGTGGTTTCTTTATGTTTTCCTATTGTGGTTGGGTCTAGATTGTTGTTGATCAGTCCTTGGGAGGACCCTCCTCTCAGGTGGACTAACTGTGTCTCAGCCCCAACCTCAACGTGTAAGATGTTGTATGGGTGTTGGCCGGGCAGGACAATACACAATGGACTCTGTGATGTTTCTTCAGTGCTCCCCACTCGCACTCCATCCACTCTGGTATGTTTCTCTGTTTTTTTCAAGCTGGTTACATAGGATTTTAGGAGTAAATCGAGTCTGTGGCTGGGAGCAGGGTCACTCTGCTGCTTCTCACAGTACCGCCATCTTCCAAGGGCCTGGGTGCAGTTTCTACATCCTGAGGCTCATTAAGATACTGATAACAATCAAAAGAATCTCTAAATGAAAGAACAAAAGAACCCTCCAGAAGAAGAGCTAAACGAAATAGAGATAAGCAACCTATCAGATATAGACTTCAGAATATTGATTATAAGGATGCTCAACAGCATAAGAAATGGAAATTATGAAGGAAATTAAGAATGACAGTAGAAATAATAAAAAAATATTGGAAGTCATGAAGAGCAGATTAAAGGAAGCTGAGGATAGGATCAGCAAATTAGAAGACAGGGTACAAAATAGTCACTCAATTAGAGAACCAAAAAGAAAAAGCAACTGAAAAACAAGAGGATAGTTTGAGGGAGCTGTGGAACAACATGAAACATAACAATGTTTGTATCATAGGAGTACCAGAAGAGGTAGAAAGTAAGCAAGGATTAGAGAACATATTTGAGGATNTAGATGTGTATAAGAGACAGGTTTAAAGGAGCTGTGAGACAACATGAAATATAACAATATTCGCATCATAGGAGTGCCAGAAGAGGTCGAAAGTAAGCAAGGGTTAGAGAACCTGTTTGAAGAAATAATGGCAGAAAACTTCCCTAACCTGGTCAAGGAAAAAGTCACACAAGTTCAGGAGGCACAGAGAGTCCCAAGGAAGAAGAACCCCAACATGCCCACTCCCAGATACATCATAATTAAAATGCCAAAAATTCAAGACAAAGAGAGAATGTTAAAGGCAGCAAGAGAAAAGCAATCTGTTACCTACAAAGGAGCTCCCATAAGGCTGTCAGCTGA